GATGCTAGTGCTAGGTCTTAGGCCTTTTATTGATAGGCTTAGGCACCCTGACCCAGCTACAGCTTGTTTGAGGGATTCTAGCAAAGTCTGAAACCTGAGCAAGGATGTGCCATTCACATGCAAAAGCCACAACACAGGGTTGGGTGGAGCTGCAAAATGAATAGGGTGGGGTTTCAGGGAATCACCAGGGCAGAGCAAACAGATATGGCTGCCAGTCAGCTCTGCGACTGGGGAGATTCCACCACAAGAACAATGATCCTTGCGAGCACCTCCACCTGGGAGAAAGGTCCCCCTGCCCCAGTTCCTATCCCAATGCCAGACAACCAGTTCCTCATCATATGTGTCTAGGTCCCCCAGAGCCTTGCCCTGGTGCTGGAGCGCAAAGGAAGCAGTCCTTTGTAAGTTCAGTTTATGCACCGGCCCTTTAAGAGGAAGAGCTGGGTCTCCAGCAGCCTCTGTGTTACTGAGCCCCAATCCCTGATGGTTTTTACAGCCGGTAGTTATGAGGATTGCTCTTCCTATCTCTGGAACTCTGGGCTGGGCAGTCTGGTGTGGATCTGGGACACCTTGCTCCTCACAGTCTGCCTCTGCAGAGACTACCTCCTACTGATTAAAAAAGCAGCACGCATGGATGACAGTCCAGCCCGTTCCACCTCTCTGCCCCTGCTATCAGTCTCAATGTGCTTTCCTCTTTACTTCTCTAGTTGTAGGACTTCCATTCAGCCAGCTTTCAGGCAGTTCTGGATGATGGGTGTTCTGTATTTTAGTTGATGTAGTTTTGGGAGGTAGCGAGTTCAGGCACGTACCTATGCTGCCATCTTGGTTCTAGGCCTCAGTCATTTGTTTACTGATAGATGTTAAGGTTAACGAAGGTTTGGCCTACTAGAAACTATACTATGATAATTTGTGTATAAGATTTCTTATGCCCTGGCTGATGTGGCTTAGTTGGTTGGGCATCATCCCCGAGCACTGAAGGATTGCTGGTTCAATTTCCAGTCTGGGCACATGCTTGGGTTGAGGCTCAATCCCTGGTAGGGGGCATGCTGCAGGCAACCAATGAATACTTTTCTCACTCTCCCTCTCCCGGTTCCTCTATCTCTAAAAATCAATTTTAAAAACCCAGTATTAAAAAAAAAAGATTTCTTATAACATGTTTTCATTTCTCTTAAATAACTCCCTAAAATTGGGTTTGCTGGGTGGAATATAGTAAATCTATGTTTAATTATTTTGTTGCTGTTGTTAATCCTTATCTGAGGATATTTTCCCCATTGTTTTCCAGAGAGAGTGGGGGTTGCGGGGAAGAGAGAGAAAGAGAAACATCTATGTGAGAGACACACATCAACTGGTTGCCTCCTGCACAAGTCCCAATCAGGGGAGGGGAGCGAACCCACAACCCAGGTACATGCCCTTAACCGGGAATCAAACCCACGACCCTTCAGTGCATGGGCTGATGCTCTAACCACTGAGTACACCGGCCAGGGCTATGTTTAATTTTATAGGAGACTGCCAAACTACTTCCCAAAGTGGCTGTACCCTTTTAAAATTCTACCAGCAATCCCTGACAACACCTGTTATCGTAAGATTAATTTGTACTATTCTAGTGGATGCATGCTAACATCTTGTTGTGCTTTTATTTGACATTTCCCTGAGGCATCAGAAAGTGTAGAGTCATGTAGTTTATCAGAGTGAGGATATCTCTTTCTTTTCCAAGTTTGTTGAGAGTTTTCATTATAAATAAGTATTTAATTTTATTCTATGTAAATTATGCCTTAATTATACTGATTTTTAAAAAACTCTCTAGTTAACAGCAGACTTAAAGAAACTGAGGCCTCCCCAGTTTGGCTCAGTGGATAGAGCATTGGCCTGCGCACTAAAGGTTCCTTAGTTTGATTACAGTCATGGGCACATGCCTGGGTTGCGGGCTTGATCCCCAGTAGGGAGCATACAGGAGGCAGTCAATCAATGATTCTCTCTCATCATTAATGTTTCTATCTCTCCCTCTCCCTCTCCCTGCCTCTCTGAAATCAATAAAAATGTATATTAAAAAAATAAATAAAAATAAACACTGAATAGTTTCCTCCTAAGACAGGGGAGAAGGTTAGATAGTCTTCTCCCATCACTTTTATTCATCATTGTCATGGTAGTCTTAGCCATGTAATAAGGAATGAAAAAATAATGAGAAATATATAGACTGCAAAGGAAAAAGTGAAACTATCCCTACTCTCATCTGACAAAATTTACATTGATAATCCCAAGGAATCAGTAAAAGAAATACTAGAAGTAATAAGAGAATTTAGCAAAGTCTTAGGATATAAGATTAATATAGAATCAAATTTGTTTCCTGGATTTATTTCAGTAATACAAAGTTGATTGAAATTAAATAAATTTAATTTTCCTTAGTTTACATGATAATTTATGTAGAAAATCCTATGGAATTTACCAAAAAAATGACTAGCATTAAACTGTGAGTTTATGAAGGTTGCATAATACAAAATCAATATATAAAACAAATGATACGTATTTCTATATTCCAATAATACTATTTTTATGGTTCTTCTATCTAGTTGCCAAAGACAGAATCTGAGATATTAACGCTGATTTTTCTTTTTCCCTCATGAACCTACTCTACCTTAATTAGATCCAACCAAGTTCTGTTGACTTTATCTCTTAAACATCTCCAGCATTTACTCACTTTCCTTCATCTTCATCCAATCAATCATCACCTTTCGAGTGAAACCAGGCCCTAAAACTGAAACTAGGTCTTAATAGCCTATTTTTCTTCTTCTAGTCTTACATATCAAATTCCTTCTGATTACTGCTCGTAATTTTATTGCATGGTTATCTCCTTTCCTCAATATGTTCATTTCTAAGATCTGTACATCTACATCATCATTTCCTGGGAAGCAACATTTTGCACAAGAGTCCCTGGTTCGATTCTAGTACATACCTCAGTTGCAGGATCAATCCCCAGCCCTGGTTGGGTGAGGCACGTGAGAGAGGCAACCAATCAATGTGTCTCTCTTACATGATGTTTCTCTCTCTCTGTCTGTCCCTCTCCCTTACACTCTCTCTAAAAAAATCAATGGAAAAATAGCCTCAGGTGAGGATTAACAAAAAAACAAACCAAAAGAATTTTAATGATACTTTCATATGATTATTGTGATAATTCGGTTTATTAACCAGTCCACAATAGATATTTCATAAAAGTTAGTCTCTTACTCCTTTCTCTTTTTAAAAATGACTTCCAAAACTTTCCCTCAATCTATTATACATATTTAAAGTCTTGATATATTTCATATTGACAACCAGAGATGAGACACAACATTTGTGCTCTAAAGGTTCTTCTTGGACACATTTTGGCATTTCACAGATTCTTCTGAATATTTAAATACTGAAATTGTAGTGCTGTTGAAAAACTTGCGTGGAAAGAAGGAGACCCAAGTCTAGTTTCATCAATGCCATCCAGTAGCTTGGACTTTAATCTCCTTGGATTGGGATAATTTCCCATGAAAAATAAGGGTATTAGACAAGATAATCTCTTAGGGTTTGGGTCTTTAAATTCTATAATTTGGGGGAAAGAATTAGTATCTTGGATCATTAGCAATTAGATCCTTGGGCCTGGGAATATATCTTATTTGGGAAGGAATGCTCAAGATAGAAAAATATGACTAAGTAAGAAAAAGCAGGTGAGAGCAAAAGATCATCCCAGCTCAAAATACCTCTGCTTTCCCACATTCACCCTGCTGTAATTGTTTTAGAATAAATGTCTTCTTGAATACACATTTCCACAGATACTAACAGGCCACTTGCTTTGTTTTATCTATATCGTCCTCATAGTTTTCAATTAAAAAATCAGTAAATTATGCCAAAAATAAGTAATACTTAACATTTCATATTTACTTCCTACTAACCATTTATTCAGAGAGCTAAAATCCTGGCTATGAGGTTGAGGGCGAGGGCAAGGGCAAGGGCGAAGGCAAAGAAGTTATTTTATCTATAGCCATCCTTCAATATGGCCTTATAAAACTAATTTCTGAAGCAGTGATCCAGAGAACCATTTTTCAGCTTCTCAGTTTTTTTAAACTATACAAAAGATGTCCTTCAAAATAGTCACTCTTTTGTACTAGTCATAAGGATATCATATTCTTTTGTAAAAGACCTCACTGAATAACAATATACATTTACAAAAAATTCATAATTTCTGTTATTCAACATGTGCTATTTTCTATTTCTATGATGTGATCTTTCCAATACAAAGAATCATGATTGCAATTACTGAGGAATTAGTAACAATCCAATAAACAATACTGCCCAAGAACTATAGAGCTCTGACATTTAATCTCTACCTCATTTGTGAGGGCCTCCATTGAGTCTTCCTACTGGAATATTTACACAAACAGCTCACCACAAATGCCACAAAAAAAACTAACTTCATCTTAATGCAGGCTAATGCTACATTAATATTTTTAAATATTTTACTTTAATATTTTAGTATTAAATTAATATTTTAATCTTTAGGCCAATTTTCTCTCTTTAAGTCAAGAAACATGAATTAGATTTACTTCTTAGTTGTCTGAGACACATAAATAAAGAAACTGGCACTAGATATACAGACTGACTTGTAATTTGAAAAAACTTTACAGAAATAACTACAGACTAATTCATCAAGAAAATGAGGAATAAAGGCAAAGAATTACCTCTGATTATTCAAATTAATATTTTTTTGTCATTCTTGCTTCTGAGTTAAAAAATTTTTATTAAATGTATTGGGATGACATTGGTTAATAAAATTATACAGGTTTCAAGTGTACCATTCCGTAATACATCATCTGTATACTGCATTCTGTTAACCAGCCAAAGTCAAGTCTCCTTCTATCACATCACCACAGTCAAACTAAATTTTTAAAAACTCACTAAAACAGTAAACATTATAAATCAGAAAAAAAATTATTATGACAGAGAAAAATTAAAATTAAAATGAGAAAACAGCTTAAACTTACTGGGTTATCTGTGGAATCATCAGCCAACTGTAAACCAAAGTAGTCACGCTCAGTCAAATCAAGATGTTTGAAGACTATATCCAACAGAACTTGCCCTTGATCATATTTCTAGAAGAAAAATAAAAGGAAATCAATACCAATAGCCTATAAACACTTTCAGATTTTTAACCTGTTGGACTTTTCCCTTATTAAATTGGCAGCTGTTCCCATCCAATGACTATTGAGAATAGAGACTTCACAGGTTACACAGTACTTAAAAAACTGTCTAACTTTAGGCAAACTAATTCAAAGACCATATAATAAATATGAAGGTATAAGGAAAACCTTTAATTAAAAATGCATTCTGCTTTCAGGACAGTATGATATTTTTGTAATTTTATATTGTTGCCACATTAGTCAATTGCCTTATTGTTTTTTTTCTTACATTTAAATTGACTGGAAAATAACATATTTGACTAAATACTATTTAAAATTTGTGTGCCTAAAATAAATAATGCCAATCTGGCCGGCATGGTTCATGGCTAAGTGCCGACCTACAAACCAGGAGTTCAAGGTTCGGTTCCCAGTCAAGTATATGCTTCGGTTGCGGGCTCAATCCCCAGTGTGGGGTGTGCAGGTGGCAGTCGAGCAATGATTCTTTCTTATCACTGATGTTTCTATCTCCCTCTCCCTCTCTCTTTGAAATCAATAAAGATATATTTAAAAAATAAATAAGTAAATAAATAAATATTTGGTTTGTTGAATAAGTGGATGATAAAATGGCCTACAGAATAAATTTTAAAGTTTAGATGGTTTATAATCTCTTTGTAGGCTTTACTAGCCCTATAGTTTTTTACTTCACAAGAAGACCAATTAGGGAAGGAGTCTCTAAAGCACAAGGGACAGTACATCTGCAGAGAAACTACCTTACTTCAAACAGTTTCTCTAAAGATAATGAGACTGTCTCTAACAAAACGTATTTAGGCTTATCACTAGAACTTTAAGGAGTAACAACAGATAGGCAAAACTGAGATTCCTACTCTTGTTGGCAAATACAAATAATATGAACAACACTATTCCAACAAACTAAACAACCTAGAGAAAATGGACATATTCCTAGAAAAATACGACCTTCCAAAACTCAATCAAGAATAAAAAAATCTCAACAGGCCTATAACTAGGAGGAAATTGAAGCAGTTATCAAAAAACTCCCAGCAAACAAAAGCCCGGAGCCAGGTGGCTTCACAGGGGAGTTTTACCAAACCGAAGAAGAATTAAAACTTATCCCTCTCAGACTAGTCCAAAAAATTCAAGAGGAAGGCACACTTCCAAGCTCTTTCTATAAAACCAGCATTACCCTAATCCCAAAACCAGATAAAGACACTACAAAGAAAGAAAGCAACAGGTCAATATTTCTGATGAACATAGATGCTAAAATCCTCAACAAAATCCTAGCAAATCGGATCCAGCATTACATTAGAAAGATCACACACAATGACCAAGTGGGATTTATTCCAGGGATGCAAGGCTGATACAATATCCACAAATCAATAAACGTGATACATCACATCAACAAATTGAGAGAAAAAAAATCACATAATTCTATCAATTGATGCAGAAGAGGCATTTGACAAAATCCAACACCCTTTCCTGATAAAAACTCTCAGCAAAGTAGGACTAGAGGGATCATGCCTCAACATAATAAATGTCTTATATGACAAACCTACAGCCAACATCATACTCAATAGGCAAGAACTAAAACCATTTCCCCTAAGAACAGGAACAAGACAGGGATGCCCACGTTCACCATTTCTGTTTGACATAGTATTGGAAGTGCTAGCCATAGTGATCAGACAAGAAGAAGAAATAAAAGGCATCCAAATTGAAAAAGAAGTAAAACTGTCATTATTTGCAGATAACATGATATTGTACATAGAAAACCCTAAATACTCCATCAAAAACCTAGACTTAATAAATGAATTTGGCAATGTAGCAGGACACAAAATTAATGTCAAGAAATCTATGGCATTTTTATACACCAATAATGAATTGTCAGAAAGAGAAATTAAACAATCCCATTTACCACTGCAACAAAAATTAAGATACTTAGGAATAAACTTAACCAAGGCGGTAAAAGATCTGTACTCGGAAAACTACAGGATGCTGGAGAAAAAGAGATAGAGGACGATA